TTCCAAACTGTCTTGGGTTTAAAGATTAGTTACAACAAATCTAAGTTAGCAAAATTTGGCATCAACTACCCCGAGCCCTCTTTTGCTATGGTACTGGGATGTAAGGCCACAAATCTACCCATCAAATACTTGGGCATCTCTCTTGGTTCTAAACACAAAACAAAAGCTGCTGGGAGCCTATAATCGACATTTTCCAAAGTAGACTGGCCAATTGGAAAAAGAAATTCCTGTAAAAAGGTGGTAAGCTCACACTCATAAAGAGTACTTTGTCTAACCTACCCATCTATTACCTCTCGGACCTTACCATTCCAGCTAGTGCAGCCAAAAAATTAGAAAGTATTCAATGTCATTTCCTTTGGGGTGATTGTGAGAACAGCCGCAAGCTTCACTTGGTCAACTAGGATGATATCAAACAACCTAAAGAAAAAGATGGACTGGGGTTAAGGTCCCTAATGACACTTAACAAAGCATTACACTGTAAATGGATTTGGAAATTCTAGAACAGCACAAATTGCCTTTGGAAAAATATCATTTAATGCAAATGGTCCAGTAAGGATCTGTATAATATGACCATACTAAACTAGAACAACTATGGAAGAAGCCAATGGAAGAGCTTCATGCAACATAATCACATTATTTAGAACTGCTCCACTTGGGTCATTGGTAAGGGCAACAAAATTCGTTTTTGGCAGGATGTGTGGCTGGGAAACAATAACCTCCAATCCCTTTTCTCCCACATATTTGCTATCGCCTGCAACAAGGATATCCTAGTTGAAGAATTATTTCAGGGGAACACTTCTTTTCCGGGTGCAGCGGGTGGCAATCGTAATCTCCAAGATTGGGAAATGGAGGAATACATGGAATTATCTGCAACTACAGTTAATATACAGTTAAATCTCAATGACGACTAACTCAAATAGAAATTAAACAAAAATAGCACCTTCTCGGTTACTTCTCTTTACAAGTACCTGGTGGGCTCTACAAATGGAAATGAGTATGTTTTTCCCAGTAAAATCATATCGAAGTCGCAAGCTCCATCTAGAATCTCCTCCTTCACTTGGGAGGCTGCAAAAGAACACATCTTGACCATTGACAGTCTCATGAAGAGAGGTTTCCAACTAGTTAACAGATTCCCCTTATGCAAATCCAACTTGAAAAGTTGTAAGCACCTTCTGTTATGATGCCCAACCACTTACAGTCTGTGGACGGATCTCTACAGTCTAATGGGTATTCACTGGGTTATAGCAAGCTCCATCAAGGCTGAACTTCTCGCATGGGAGGGTCTCACTTTCAAGAACAAGTGCTTTTGACTAATTCTACTCACTATATTCTGAATTGTTTGAAAAAAAATAAGCAATAGAATTTTTGAGGGTATTGAGAGGAATTTTGTTAATATCAAGGACAAATGTTTACACTTTTTTAGTTCTATTATGTTAGGGCAGAACTTAGATAGTTTAGATGATTTTGAGCTCATTGCAGATACCTTTACCGAGCTGTAAATTCCTGGTACTCGGGTGGTGCCCCCTTGGCGCCTGATTAATATGTCTTACATTTTCTTCTCAAAAAAAATTGTTTTAGAATTTTCTACTCTCTCTATTCTCATTCTCTACTCTCTATTCTATATGCTCTAATTCTCTTCTTCTACTGCCCGCTTATTTCTTACTCTCTTCTCTTCTACAACTTTTGTTCACCAATGGTTATCCAAGGCCTATTTTGGCCACCTCATGAATCAGTGGTCTAACAACTTAGTATCAAAGCAAGGTCAAGTGCGCTCTCAACGGTTAAACCGACAAAAAACAAAGGGAAGGTTGTGATGTCATATTCTCAATGAGTGACACAA